AAAAAATACAGTTTTAAAAATGAATTAACAATATATGTTTGTCAGAACTTCATAAAGAAAAGGTTCAACCATCCTAAAACAAACAAAATTGCCTTAATAAATATTAAATATTTAAAAATCCAATTTAATTATTTGATTTGATCAAAAATTTAAATTTTAAGCAAATTTATTAGTTTAATTTGCATACAGTAGATAAATATAATAAGTAAAAACATAAAGTCATTTTTTAAAAATTTTTCCTTAACAATTAGAAATTTAACAGAAAAGTTAAAACTAACACAAGTAATGAACAATAAGTCTAATTAAACAAATTGAACTGAACTATTTATATTAAAATAAATGAATAATTATTCTTCATTCTCATTACTTTTCTGTATATCTAATGATTTTATAAATCAAAGAGAAATATGTTTAAAAGTTTATGTGTTTCTAGATATTATTATTATTATTATAAACATTTATTTTAAATATTTTCAAAATTATAATTTAACATTCCACGAATATATTTAGATAGTAAATATTTCAAAATGTAAATAAATATATAAAAATACAGTAATACCCCGAACTTACACGATAGGTGGGACCGAGCGATGACCACGTACGTCGGGGTATAATTTCGCAATTTATGTAAAATCCAAGTCGGAAGTATGTAAGCTAATAAATGTTCTCGTTAATCTTATCTCGTCTTTTGATTCGTTCACGGTTACAAGAAATCACCACATATTGTCTCTCAAGTCTCCGTAGATATAACAAACACAGAAAAAAATAACTCAAAATAAATTGTAGCTATGTGTTGATTCCGCGCAGCACGTCCGAACATGTAAGCTGAACAATAGTGTTGGGGGAGTGAGTAATCAAGAGTTGCGTGGCACTCAAACAAAAGACGAATCGATGAGATTTCAAAATCGCGTAATTCCGAGTTCACGTAAGTCGGGGTAGCGTAAGTCGAGGTATTACTATACTTTTAAAAATTAGAAATTAATATTTTATTTTCAATGATCATAAATTTAACGAAGCAGATGACATCTAACAAGCAATTATTTACTGTAACACTGTCACAATGCCAGGCTGCAATTTTTTGTCACAATGCACTTAAGTTTAGTAGTGTCTTGCCACTGTGCATCATACTTTTCCTGTTAACAATGAAGTCATACCAGTCATGAATCTAACTCTGTTCAGGAGAAAATTTTTCAATTGAAATAATGTGACTTCCAACTTCATATATAGTTAATTAGGGCTTCCTGTCTCTAAGCTTTCTGCATCTGGTCTTGACTTTCATAAATCTAACACTGTTCTCAGATTAAGGAAGGACAGTGAAAATTTATAGATCTACAATTTTTTTCACATTGCAGCCCAAACAGTACTGGTCCAGTAACGTATTATCATCTACAAAGCTCAGGACCGAAAGTGGAGCCCAAGTCAGGATTTCTGAACTCAAGCTAAATATAAATGTTAAAAATAAAATAAAGAATGGAAAGTAAAAAACAAAACTACAATATATTAACACACCATATACCAACAGTCACACTGGAACTGGCATCATGAAACATGTACCCCACAGAAACCAAAATAAAGTGAACTACAGCTGTGCTACACTCACTAAATTCAAAACTAACCAGTTTTCTGTTAATTCTGAATTTCTGGAAGATGGATATTTGGTCCAGTACTATACAAAAATATTTTTGAGATAAACTGTAATTTTTTCAAATTCAAGCAAAGTTTGGCTTCAGTTAAACTTCAATAAAACCATTCAAAATTATAATAGAATTTCTTTTGCTATTTATATAAATTATTAAATATGGCAACGGAACTATCTATTTAATGCTTAAATTAATGAATAATAATAATAATTGATTTTAAAAAGCAGTATTAATAATAAAGTTCATGTTTCAAAAATAAACACACAGATTTCTAAAAATAAGGCTTGGGTATTATTAAACAAAATTAAAACTTTCATAATAGCTAACACAACTACTTGTACACAACATCAGTGTTCAATATATTTAAAGTGGAAAAATTTTAATTACAGTATATATATTTAATATATACTAAATGAGCAGTGTCCCAAAATAATATCAAACATAAAAATAGAAGCTATTCATGAACAGTAGAATTTTTTAAAATTATTATTTAAGATATTGCTTTCTTAATATTTCTAATTTATAAAATCATTAAATTATTAAAAATGTTTTGATCTAAAATATAAAACTATATCAAATCATACAGTTTAATGTACAGGATGTCCCAAATTAAAATTGATGTCTCACAGCTGGCTACAGCAAAAGCTATTNTTTCTTTATAAATTATTAAAAATGTTTTGATCTAAAATATAAAACTATATCAAATCATACAGTTTAATGTACAGGATGTCCCAAATTAAAATTGATGTCTCACAGCTGGCTACAGCAAAAGCTATTCATCAGGAAGTCATGAAAGTTTGGAAATGCCTTAATGAGATAAAAGAAATTTTTTTCTACAGCAAAAAAAGTTAGTTCCAAAATCCACAACTAGAGGGCACTTTTCAAGCTAAAATAGTGGCATATTGGCCTACAAGATCCTCAGACTTGAATCCATGTGATCTTTGGCTCGGGGCTGTCTCAAAGACTTGGTCTTCCACAATCCCATAATATTGCTATCACACCTTAAAGACAGCATGGTATAACATTCCAAGGCATACACTGCACGCAACCATTGAACATACTGTTTTACGCTTTCAAATGGTAGTAGACAATGGTGACCATCATTATTTTGTTCACATGAGACAGATAACTTGTGTAGCTCATTGTTATGTTCTGTATAAAGCTATAATATACCCTCTATTGATGGGGTTTGGAACTAACTTTTTTCACTGTAGAAAAATTTCCATCATCTCATTAAGGCATTCCCAAACTTTCATGACTTTCTGATGAATAGTTTTTGCTGTAGCCAGAAGAGAAATGTCAAATTTAATTTGGGACATCCTGTATACTTGGTGCCATAAAAATTAGTGCATCAAGGAGGAATTGTCGTAACACTGCAAAACTTGGCATGCAGATAAGTCTCAAGCAGATATACAAATGATTAGAGTTATAGCATGAGAATAATAGCATGATAGCAGAGGTGTTAAAGTGCATCCCCTTGGCCTATAAAAAATTATGCAAAGGCATCTATCTGTAGTTTACCTGTTGCAGGACACTGTATCATTATAGATGCCTTTAAGTCACAATTGAAGACCATATGAACAACTAACCGAGTTTGAGAGGGGAAGGATCATTGGGTTGAGAGAAGCCTGGTGGTCATCTCGTCAAATAGCCCACCATCTAAACTGTTCTGACAACATGTGAAGAAATGTTGGGACCAGTGGATGAGAGAGAGCTTGTGCAGACAGCATCCAGGCTCAGAACACCCTCAGCAAACCACTAGCCTGAGGATTGCTGGTCCTCCAACAAGCATTGCACACAGACAACAGTATCGTTGTCCACATCATTTCAAGGTGCCTGGGTGAGGAACATTTGGTATTGCAGCAGCCATTACATGTAATGTGCTGCATTTGTACTGCCATAGACAGCTCCTCTGTTTGGAGTGGTGTTGCTCCCAACAGGATTGGACCGCAACAGAATGGTACCTGATTGTGCTGAGTGGTATCAGGTTATGTACATTGTTACATTAATAAAAAACAGGAAAAAGGGCATCAGCAATTCATTGTCGAGTATTGCAAAAAAATTGCTTGGTCTGATGAGTTAAAGTTCCTGTTGCATCATGCTGCTCAGAATTTTGTTGAATAATAGTCAAATCCAAAAACAACACAAATCCATGGGCCCTTCCTGTCTGGTAACAAACTGTACAAACTGGTACAGGTAGTGTAATGGTATGGGAATGTTTTCCTAGCACATGTTGGTCCCTTGACACCAATTGATTCATGTCTGAATGCTACAAAGTACCTAAACATCATTATGAACCAAGTGCATCGTTTCATGTTCACAATTTATTCTGTCACATGGTTACTTTCAGCAGTATAATGCACACAAAGTTCAAATCACTATGGAACAGTTCCAGGAACATGACAATGAATTTACTTTGATGCACTGGAATGGAATTGGGTTGTCTACAGCAATGAATTTGGGCATTGATGATAGCTGTGTTCATGTCTGGAGGCCCCATGGTAAATGCCTCAATCCTGCCTATGTTGTGGAGAAACACTGCCTTCACAGCTGGTGTGAAGATCTAGGATGTCATCACATACAACAGCCAGTCGCGCGCGACCTGTGTATGTGATAGTAATTTTGGCTCTGTGTTTCGATCATCATAAATTGGTTATTTTTCGCTGTATCCTGGATTTTTATATATCTTTGTATTCAGTAACTCTTAAGGATTCTGTAAGGGTTAATATTTTAAAAATCGGTAAGGTACTTTTTATATTATAAAGCACCCGTTATTTTCGGCCTTAGTCGGCCCCGATCGTGCTCCCCGCTTGGATCCAGGCTACTTTCGTTACGTTATTATTTTGATCTATATATATGTAAAATGCTGTATAAATTTGGTTTTGTACTTTTAAACGGTTCGCGAGAATTTTCGGTTTAAATTATTCACCATAGACAAAGGTTGTGTCCACCACGTGGTCGTGTTAGCCACTCGGCGGGAGCTAGCTGTTTGGCGTGTGGCTTTTCGCGATGATTGATTTCTCTTTTAATTGTAATAGCAACGCTACTGTGTATACTTGTCGGATGTTACACCTGTATATGTTTGATGTGTTCTGTGCCATATTAACTTTGGATTATGTGTTTAATGTTATGCCTACCGATCTGTGTTCTATGTAGGAGCCTGTGTGTGTGAGGTAAGTGTGACACCATCGTCTGCATTTGGACTGTTTGGGGAGACCCTCAATCAGGCAGACCAGCCCCCACCTGCCTGGATTAATCGCTAACGTGTGCTTACCAGTGCAACGTCTCTTGGCATCGTGCTATCTGTTCTACTACACCTACATCACATTCTTTTGGCCGACTCTTTTCACACTATACAAAATGTGTAATGACTCCGAAGCCTCATCTGATCCACGTACCTTGGCCTACAACGTGCTTGACGAACTGAAAGGCTACATTGCTGAAAATGGGAACGTCAAACTTGGTGGTAGAGGGCACGCAGACTTTGTTATTGGATGTGCCCAACGCATCATCGACATTTTCATAGCAAGCTATGAGAAAAACAGGATAGGAGAAAAGCTTGATAACATAACCAACAAAATCGACCACCTAATTAACAACAACTCCAGAGGAGACCTGGTTGAAACTCAACACAAACTGATAGAAAAACTGGACACAATTAATCTTAATAGCTCCATCTGTTCCCAACAACATATGAATTATAGCAGGGCGCTTAAATTGGGTAAAGTTCTAGAGTACCCTAACAACATAAAGAAGACAACAACCACCCAGAACGTCCTTCTCGTGTATGGTAAAGGAGAGGAGAAGAACAGTGAGAACATTAAAAAGTCCATACAGAATACCATCGAACCATCAAAATTGAGAATTGGCATTGAAAAAATCAGGAAAATTGGAGGAGGTGGCATCGCTATAGAAATGGAAAACATGGATAACATTACAATCTTGGAAACTAAAATCAAAGAAAAACTGCCCGAATTAGACACACGACGACCAAGGAAGCGGAGACCACACATCAGTATTATCTCTGTTCCCCAGGAATGCAATATAGAAGAGATCCCACAAAAAATATATGACCAAAACACTATAATTCAAGACAATTATGAACGCAGTCAATTTGAAGAGGAATTTAAGGTGAAATTCAATACTGGCAGGAAAGAGAGCTCCTTCAAAAATTGGATAGTCGAAGTCACACCCAAACTGAGGAAACTACTCATAACTTCAGGAAAAGTCAACATAGAGTGGTCCAGGTGTCGCATTGTGGACTTCTGTCCGGTCCTGCAATGCTATAAATGTTGCAAATTTGGACACTCCACCAAAACCTGCCCCGAGAAAGAAAGCATATGTAGCCAATGTGCAGGAAAGCACACATATAGAGAATGTCCGCTTCGTGATGTGCAGCCCACTTGTTGTAATTGTACAAAAGACAGGAGAATGGAGGTAAACCATAACGCACGCAGTAGCACTTGCCCTATTTATCTTAAGCTGAAGACCAACCTCATCTCACGCACCAACTATGAATCTTACTAACGATAACACATGCATCCGTTTTCTGCAAGTCAACCTAGGTAGGTGGCTGAGATACCTAGGTAGAGGTATCTCAGCCACCTCACTACTAGCTACAAAGTGCCACATGTACATTTCATCATTGTTCAGGAGCCGTACTGCCTAAATAACACCCCCTCTTGCCTCCCCACTCGTTATTCTATCCTCAAAGGTAGTACTTCTTACCCTTGGGCTATCAGCATCGTCACAAACCCGAACCTCTCAATTTTACATCTCAAGAACCTCTCCAATCAACACATGGTTTGTAGTGAAATTTACCTCAATAACCTCAGCTACACGATCATTAATGTCTATTGCCCACAGGAGGCTGATGTGCACAATATCTTGAGTCAGCTACAGTACGTTATCGACAAACGGAACAACACCATCATCATCATCGCTGGTGATATCAACGCCCATTCGCCAACACGGGGGGTGACCAACAGGACAGCCGCGGTGAAGCATTTGAGGAATTCTTCGCACAGAACGGACTGCTCGTATTGAACAATCCCCTTTCCCCACCCACTTACGTGTCTAGTCGAGGTGAGACCTGGATAGACATTACTGTCTGCAGCCCTAACTGTCTTAACCTTATCAACAACTGGAAAGTTCACGATGAGAGCAGTCTTAGTGACCATGCCTACATTTCCTACTCTCTGAACGCCAATGACAAAGCCTCGAACACCAGTATCTCTAATTATGCAAGGTACAACCTTACCCATTCAGACTGAAAAGGAATGCAGGACTATCTACAAAACAATCTTCATAATTACACATACAACAATAAGGAGGAAGCAGAACAGACTCTGGAGAGAAACATCAGCAAAATCAGGTATGCATGTGAGAAATTCATCCCAAAGACCATCCCAAAGTATAAATCAGTACCCTGGTGGAATGCAAACCTCACTAACCTTAGAAAAGCCAATAATAATTTGAGAAAAACCTATCAAAATTGCAAAACTGAACCAAACCGAACTCACCTAAAGCAGCGATTCCTCGATCACCAAAAGCTATATAAAGCAGAAATCAAAAAAGCCAAGATCTCCTCTTGGAGACAATTCTGCACATCTGCCTCTTCCAATCCATGGGGATATCTCACTAAACTGTGTACCAATAAACTAAAGAAAACTCAAATCCTCACTGTGGACAGCAATTACAACAGCAGCAACTTCCCTGACATTCTTAACAAGCAAATGGACAAGTTTTGTATAGTAGACAACCCGGAACTTGACACACGCTGGCAACAAAACATACGTCAGGAGATGAACAACCCAATTGGTACTGATAACGCACCGGTTTTTCAATACCATGAAATAGACAATGCAATCACAAGACTTAACGACAGGAAATCACCTGGCACTGATGGAATCGATGCAAAAATAGCCAAAGAAATATGGAAAATGATACCGAATCATATTGTAAATATGTACAACTGTTGTCTTCACCATGGCATATTTCCTGCTGGATGGAAAACAGCAAAAATTGTCCCAGTTCCAAAACCTGGTCGTCCTGATGAATCGAGGCCAATCTCTCTTCTCCCTGTCTTCGGCAAAGTTCTGGAACGCTTGATTACCAACCGTCTTACCTGGCATGTTGATAGTAATAACATCCTAAATGACACACAATTTGGGTTCCGTCAACAACGTTCCTCTAATGATGCCATCCACCATGCAATCCATAATAACAATAGCCTTCTTAACCAATACAAATACGTTCTGGCCATCAGCCTCGACATTAGTAAAGCTTTTGATAGCGCCTGGTGGCCATTAATTCTCTATAACTTAAAGTCAATAAATTGCCCAGCCAATATTTACAATCTTCTGAAGGACTATCTGAACAACCGCAGTGCCTACTTACAGTACAGAACAAATGCCACAAATAGAAGTATTGTTCGCGGCTGCCCGCAGGGGTCAGTCTGTGGTCCTTTACTATGGAACATAACCTTTAACACCTTTTTGTCCCAGAGCTTCGGCCAGGACAGCACCACTGCATTTGCAGACGATGTTCTTATTCTTATTGGTGGCAGATCCCGTGCACATCTCGAAAAAAAGGGCACCAACACACTTACCAGGATACATGAGTGGGGTCTAGAACACAAACTCCTCTTTAACCCCGATAAGACCAAGGCCATGGTCATAAACAAACCAGGCAAACCCAACCTGTACTGACGAGTACCGACTATCAAAATGGATAACAGAAGTATTAAAGTCGAGAAATCAATCAGATATCTGGGTGTGCTTCTAGACCACCGTTTAAGCTGGGATGAACATATCAAGGATGTCTGCAAACGCACTGGCCATATATTCAGTGCCTTCGGAAAAGTGGCAAAAAACAAATGGAGACTACAATCCGAAGCACTCAGTATTATATACAACCAAATCTACATCCCTATAGTTACCTACGCCTGCGGTAGTTGGGGGTGGGCTGCACACAAGGTCCACTTAAAGCGGAAACTTGTCTCCTCCCAGCGTAAAGCCCTTCTTCTCCTCTCCAAAGCTTATAGAACCACTCCGAGCAATAGTCTCCAGATCATTACACGTAAGCCACCAATTGTGAATATTATCAACCTTTATTACAACTATTGGAGCATAAAATGGGGCAATGACATCTCAACTCACTCTTGCAACATCTCAGCCAACCAACTGGAAAATTACACTCCTGTTAATACCATTCCACCGTTTGTTCAGACTTATCTAAATACCACCCCTCCACAAAGCAGTGACATCCAAATCTACACAGATGGTTCGAAAACCGAGGGTGGGGTGGGCTGTGCTTTTGTGGCATACCAGAATGATCAAGAGATTCACTACAAGCAGAACAAGCTATCTGACTATTGCTCCGCTTTTCAGGCAGAGCTCACAGCAATCAATACGGCAATCAGCTGGGCCACGCAACATTACGACCACATGAACATTGTTATCTTCACCGACTGCCTCTCTACTATTCCCATCATAAACAGTAATAAACAACATCCGATCGCATCCAATATCAGAGACAACCTAAGCAACACCACTAACCTCGTCTATATTACTTGGACACGTGGCCATCGGGCAACATCGGTAACGAGAGGGCCGATCATCTCGCCAAAGCGGCAGCTACCAATGACACCTTGGACATTGTCTACGACAAAATTAGTCACACCACCGTCAAGAAACTGCTATATGATGTAATACACTCCTGGCAATGCGACTGGACAAGGAACCACAACACTACTACATATAATTACATCCCGAATATCATAGAATACTACAAGTACAACTGGATTAAGCCCAGCAGCCACCTCTGCCAATTTATCACCAACCACGGGAAATTCTCTTCCTATCTCCATAGATTCGCGATCAAAAGTACCCCTCTGTGTGACATTTGCAACCTGGAGGACAACGCTGACCATAGACTTTATAGCTGTGTGTGCCTGGAACATGAAAGGTTAAACATCAAACTCGTTGCCTCGAAGCACAACATTCCCTGGCCGTGTCACCACAAAGACTTTCTGGAAAACAAAGAACTATATATAACCTTTGAAGCTCTGATCAAAAGACACAGTACTCTTGTTACCAGCACATCCAGCCAATAACTTCTCCTGCTGTCAAATAACTTTGTTAAACTTCATGTACTGTTCATCTATGTAATTCAATGTCACCTCTGCAGCCTCTTGCTGCACTTGCACTGCATATATGTATTGTTTTAGAAGGTTTACTTCATAATTATCTTCACTATCTTGTTTATGTTTTATTATTTATTGTACTCTTATTGCAATTCACATATTATTCCCCATCTCACTGTATTATATCGTATCTTTAACTGTATTCTATTCCTTATTGTACTCAAACTTACTGTATATGTTATTTTAACTGTTCTTTACAAGCCATTGTATACCATTGTTATTGGTTCTTAAAATTGTAAGTTTTCATTACTCTTGTATTTACTAGTTCTAATACCTCATCATTAACCTACTCCGCTTCACATTTTGTAACCGCGACACAACTGGAATTTTACTGTATATATTTAACTCGGCAATGCTCCGCGGTACCGAGTATGTACTGTACAATGTACCTGAATAAAAAATACTGACTGACTGACTGACTGACAACAGCCAGTCACCTATAGTAGTGATCCAAGGGACCATGACAGCCCAATGGTATGTTAATGACATCCTGCAACCATATGTATTGCATCTCATGGCAGGGCTCCCAAGAGCCATTTTCCAATAGGACAATGCTCAACCACACATAGCGAGGGTGTCACAGAACTGCCTTCGCCACACTGCCCAGTTCCCTGATTTGCACTAATTGAACACAACTGGAAACACCTGGGATGCCAAGCTGAACAGCCTAGGAGTTTGACTGAACTAGAGGATCACTTACAGTGACTATGAACTGAATGCCGCAGGACACCACATGGCACCCATATGCCTCCATGCCTGCCCATATCACATCGTATATTCATGTTAGAGGTGGCCCAACAGGATACTAGAATTTCCTTTCATTTGTAGTTTTTCCTGAAATAAATGATCCTTTTGGTGTGCTCCTTCTCTAACTCCTTTTTGGTGTGCTAATTTTTATCAGAATGAGTGTGTGTGTGTGTATGTATATATGTTACTGTGAAAGACCGAAATTAGAGAATGTCGATATTCTCCGGTGAATGTTGACACATACAAAATACATCGGTGAAAGACCAAATATTTGGTTATATTATTATACATTTGAACAATCGTCGGTGTATGTCGACAAGCACAGATAGGCTTCGGTGGAGGTCAAAACGACAACCGAGAAGCCAATGTCGACAGAGAGGCGACAGTCTGTAGCCAAATTCTTCACCATTTCCTTCTGCGCAAATTGGTGATACCGTAGGAATAAAGTCCCCGATGTCGACTGTGGCCGTACAGATGCCTGAAATGTGTTGGTTGTTGTTGGAATAGAGTACTCCGACTTTTATAAATTAACAAACAAAAATGGTACCCTCAAGCAACTTTATATCTGCAATCA